CTTTCCATATCTAACCAAAGGACTTGTAGTCTTGGTCATTCCCCTGTGGCATGGGAAATTAAGAACTGTTTATGCTCCCATCCTCTCCGGCTGCTGGGGTGTGGTGGTGGCCACCATGGGGGGAGCTTGGCAGCTTTAGGGAGCTGGTGGTGTCTCCCCTTTTCCAAACTGCAGAAGATGCAGGTTGCTGGGGGAACATCAATACAGTGGGATGAGCTCCAGCAAACCTTTTGGATCTCAGGGGTTTAGGATGCCCCCTGAGTTACTGTCTGTGCTGTGGTGAGAAAAGCTGGGCTGAATCCCTGGTGCAGAAAGGGCTGTGGGAAGCCAGGGAGATCTTATGTAATGCTCAGGCTTTGCTCCCTGTCTCCTGCTGCTTGCAGCGAGGGCATCTCCCTTCGGGTAGGAAAGCAAATTTTTAAGTTGACATTCAGGCTTAAGAATATTTGTGATGGATTCAAATAAATGCTTTGAGCTTAAAAGTGTTAGGTTTCACAAAATCTAAACTTCTATTTCTCTCATTGGTCAGCTTTTCAATATTTTTTGAATCTGCTTTTCTGTAGAAAAGCCAATAATCTCCAGATTATTTTTTTTCTAAATTCATGCTTATAAAGAGAAAAAGAAATGCTTTTTTTTCAGTACATGTTTCTTATTCAATAGAATAATGTTTGCATAATGTACATTCCAGTATTGTGTAGCTCATGCAAACCCAGTGTCACTTTTGTGTGAAAATGAATGTGTGCACCTGAGTATGTCTGTAGTTATCATAACCATTCTTTGGCTATTATGAGGAAAATTTGTAAAAATATCTTCAATTTATTTTTCCTCACAAGAACTGCTGAAAGGAACATTTCCCAGAATTTCTATACAGCAATGACTGTTTGTAGTTATATTTTAGCACCAATGAATGGGACCAGTTAGTTCCATAGCTGCAGTCAAAACAATATTGAAAACTAGCAGCAAAAATAAAGAAAACACTGAAGATTATGACAGACTACAATGTGAGAATCTCTACTAAGTGAGAATATTATTTCTGGAACTAAATTAGGAATGTTTACGGTGTCAATGAACATAAAATCCCACAATATTGTGTTTAAACAAAATGGGTATTTCCTTCTTTGGAAACGCCTTGCTGAAAGCAGGGATGGAAGAATCAAACTATTTTAGGACTAACTCATAATGTGTTGGTGCCAGTCCATGCATATAAACTGTAGGCACTGACTGAAAGAACAGATGACTAAAGCGAAATTTAAATCTGAGTTCAGCCTCCCAGAAATTTACAGCGATGAATATATGTTACTAGTATGTGCCAAACCCACTGCCACTGAAATTCAGAGAATCATAGAATGGCTTGGGTTGGAAGGGGACTTAAAGACCATCTAGGTTCAGCCCCCTGCCATGGGCAGGGACACATTCCACTAGATCTGGTTGCTCCAAGCCCCATCCAACCTGAACTTGAACACTTCCAGGGATGGGGCACCCACAGCTTCTCTAGGCACCCTGTTCCAGTGCCTTACCACCCTCACAGTAAAGAGCTTTTCCCCAATATCTAATCTAAACCTGCCGTCTGTCATTTTGAAGCCATTCCTCTTCATCCTATCACTCCATGCCCTTATAAAGATTCCCTCTCCATCTCTCCTGTAGACCCTTCACGTACCTGCTTTGTATTATTTGAATGTGTTAAGTCCCTTTGGCACTTATCAATTCCCAGATCATGCGAAATTTCCCTATGGGTCACTTACTATCCACACTCCCAGAAGTGGTGTGGTGGGTGGTGTACCTTGAGATGTGATGGGTGCAACTCGCTCTTCCCAGTGGCTCCTGGCACTCTCTACCCTTCAATCCAGGGATACCAGCAGTATCCTGCAAAACAGACTGGGACCTGCCAGGAGGAAAATATTGCGTATCTCAGGCAGGAGAGCCATCATCAATGCTGGGCACACATACAATTCAGCATTTAAAACTCAGTTTGCAAGTTAATATACATATAAAATGAAAATTAAATGAGACACCTTGCCCAGGTGTTGTGAATGAATGCATCATTTCTAAACTGTTAAAGCATTGGTGCTTCTGTCAGTATTTTGGGGTGCAAGAAACAGGCTAAATTACTAGGACTCACCCTGTTTCAGCATGGTTTCTTTTCTGATGCCCGTTTTGATTTCAGTTCCTTCTGAAACTTCACAATAGAAATTGCCATCATGTACAACTCCAGAACTGCTGTGTAACTCATGGAGGATTTTATCATACTTTCCCACTGACAACAACCCTTTCTCTCTTTTTCTCTTTCTCTTTTCAGAATCCAGCTTTTTGTTGGGAAATGCCCAGATTGTGGACTGGCCTGTAGTTTATAGTAATGACGGGTTTTGTAAACTCTCTGGTTATCATCGAGCTGACGTCATGCAGAAGAGTAGCACCTGCAGGTATGCCCATTGTCTGTTCCTTGCCACCTGATGCACTTGTAAATTTTTAATCTGGTGGGAACAATGGTGAGGTTTTGGGAAAAGGATTGATGTAAGAAAGGCATTGTTTTGCAGGAACTGAGGTATTAAAGCAAGCTTTAAATGAATGAAACCAGCAACTCATCCAGAACATGGTAAAGCACCTTGAAATTTATCCTGGATAGTATTAGTGAGAATATGCTCTACCTAATGATCCAATAAAGAGAGTGAGTTTTTAGGTAATATACTTCAAAGGCTTTTTTTTTTTTTTTTTTTTTTTTTTTTTTTTTTTGCTAGATTGTTCTGAATTCTGCTGTTCTCATGCCAGGAAGCGATGGGCTATTCTATAGTCCATGTTAGTCCCTGTTATTAAACACACACCGAGCACAGTAATGCACAAAGTGCATCTTTATTCCTAAGGGAGTGATTAAGCTGCTGATATATTTACTCTAAGCATTGCAGCTTTATGGCTTTTTTCTTTTGTTGGTGGTCTTTCAGGAGCAAGCAGCTGTGATTTGTGGTTAGACATGCATCTGTGCCTTGTCTGCTACATCCTTTAAAAGGAGATGCTTTGGGGAACGACTGAATCCCTAACGCTTGTGCATGTGTGTGTCTGTGTGAGCAAAGCAAACGAGGAACACAGGCAATAAGGAATGGCTGAGATACAAGTTTGTGTAGATTTTCCCTGTCTGCATTCAGGGAGTGACAAACTCCAGGCATGGGGAGGAGTGGATTGCATATCTGGAAGTGTTCCAGGCCAGGTTGGACAGGGCTTGGAGCATCCTGGGCTAGTGGAAGGTGTCCCTGCCCAGGGCAGGGGGGTTGGAACTAGTTGATCTGTAAGGTCCTTTCCAACCCAAATCTTTCTGTGATTCTGAAGTACATATGCAGTGTGATGTTTACTTCTTCTTAGGAGACATCCCAGTCTTTTCAGATTAACAGAGAGCTGGACAGATTTTCAGCATGGTCTGACATGCAACGTGTAGCCTACCAGGGCAATGTCTTTGGAGCTGCTCTCTAATGAGAGATAGGGAATAGAAAATGGTCTTGGAGGACAATGGTCCCTGCTTAAGCTTACTCAGTAGAATATCTTTGGAGGGTTTTTGGATACCTGGGGCTATTATTTATGGTATTTTCTGAGTCAGGCTGACAGTCCAGTTTTACTGTGTTATGACTAGATTATGTTACATTATACATAAAAATTGCTTTATATGTAATGTTTGCTTTACTGCTCTAAGACATGTTCTCTGGGCTATGAATGCTGTGGTGCCACATCTTTATTGCAGGTTTTGGAAAGGTCTGCTTTTACAGTTTTATAGTGCCAAAAATCCAACCAAATTAAAAACACAGATAGGAACAATGTAAATGTAGCCCCTGATTCAAGTACTGATCATGTGTGTGATGAAGGGCAATTTAGAAATTTTGATATGTTTGGCTAGTTTGCCCCTGCCTGTAAGGTATAATACCTTCAAATCATCTTTCACCTGTGCTTTTCTCCTGGTAGTCCAGGGAGTATTTGCTATATCCTCTTTCCCACCCCATATCCTACATTGGGACTGTTCATATGATGTATAGATGTGGCACTTATGGATATAGTTAGTAGTGGACTTGGCAGTGTTGTGTTAAGGGTTGGATTTGATGAGCTTAAAGGTCTTTCCTAAGCTAAATAATTCAGTGGTTCTGTGATCATTGTATTCAGTTACAGGTAGTCCTAGCTGATACAGATCATAGGGAGGGGTGGATAAACTGAGGGCACTGGAGGTGTGAGTGGTTTTTGTTCTAGCCCAGGCAATGAGTTAGTCCTGTGACAGGCTGCAAACCCCTTTGATTTTGTGCTTCTCTCATCTTTTTAATAGGCAACAGTGTGCCTATTGATGGGGGAAGTCACTTAGAAATCCCTCAGTAAAAGCACAAGGCTCCCCAGTTGTACAGGCACTATATAAAAGGCACAGTGTACATAGAAGTCAGACTATGTAATATTGGGTGATGGGAGTTGATGTGCTCTTTCTGGGTGCACATGGCACCCGAAGTTGAATGCGTAGATTTGATAGTGGGATGGCACCTCTGTGACCTGATTTGTGTGTGTGTGAGAAGACCTCTTTGCAATGCCAAATGTGCAAAGAAACCCTGCTGAGCATGCCAGAGGGACCCAGGGAGCTGCACTGTTTCTCCTCAGAAATGGTGTCTGCTTTTCTCCTTGCAGTTTTGAAGCTATTGACATGTATCTGTATTTGCTGTTCCTCCTGGGTAGGTGTTTGTCTCTTGTAATTGATGTCTGGAATGCTTTTGGATGAAGAGAGCTGTAAATTGGGTGTAGGATTGGATGCCTTCTGTGCTTCATGTGTCCTCTGTCCTGGATAATTCCTCTCGGACAGCTGTTACCACCCTGGCACCGCTGCAAACCTGGACCTGCTCTGATGTTGATGCTCTGGATCCTGACAAAGGACAGAGGAGCACAATATGAAGCTTCAGATGAGGCTTTTCTGTGCCAAGGGATGCTTTCAGAGAGAGGCAGAAGCCCAGGCTTCTTAAATGACAACTGGTCTGTTTTAGAGATGGAGAAAATGTCTAAGATTGTGCCTTTCTCTGAGTATTTCAGTAAGTCTTGCTTCTCTTTGATAAGCCTGCTTTCTAAGTAGTAAGAGTCCCAGTAGCAGAGTGGTTTTGATATTTATGCCTTGTACAGTTTGCACTGAAGGCACTCGACAAGCACTAAATAACAAAAAAAAACAGGAGGCAGAAAAAGACAGAGTGATTGACTGAAGAAGTAGGAGTCCCTCCATGTGTACAAAATAGGACAGACTAAATTAAATTAAACCTGTGATAAGCAAAGATCTTATGTAACTTGTACAGCGAAAGGCTCTGAGGTTCGTTTGGTGTTAAAAATTGCCTTCAGAAAAATGTTTTTATTGATCCACAAGCCTTTAAAATGTCTTATGTGAATATAATATAAGATTTAAATATTACAGCCTTACTGCAACTGTAAGTTGCCTTTAATTTAAAACATAAAGTTGATTGATCATGTTCAGCAGCACTAACTGGTATCGTCCACCTCTCTATGTCAAGTAGGATTTGTCTTTTCAACACTAACTAACGATGATTTTCTGTATTGTAAGTCATGTAAAATCAAGCACTTCAACAAATTCTTGTCATTTTTTTCCTTCAGGACTATGAGAAACATTGTTTTAAGTCTCAAAAGAACAAAAAAGAGATGGATCAGTGCATTAAAAAAGACATAGATTAAATAGTAAAAAAAACTTCAAACTTTGTTGTTATCTCCTGTATAAATGTATAAGGGGTTATCAACTGAAATCAGAAAAGGCAAGCAGGTCATTTGAAAATGAGCAGTAGGCTGTGTTTTGCATCTCCCCAAGACAGATGTGTATGTTAGTGATAATCAGTACCTTTAATGAAGTAACACCATTTTCTGATGTCAGTTGCTGTAGTGGCATCTCCATTGCAGTGCTGTCCCAAAGGCAACAGTTATGCCATGCCACTCATGGAATCACAGAACCATTTAGGTTGGAAAAGACCTTTAAGGTCATTGAGGCCAACTGTTAACCTAACACTGCCATCTTCACCACTAAACCATGTTCTCAAGTGCCACATCTACACGTTTTTTGAACACTTCCAGGGATGGTGATTCCACCACATCCCTGAACAGCCTATTCAAATGCCTGACCACTCTTTCAGTGAATATATTTTTCCTAATATCTAATGTAATCATTAGCTGTCCATGTGTTACCAGTGAAGAGGCACCTGTAGTGACATCCACATGTTGTAGTCATTCTGATGCTCCACATCTGCCTTCATCACCCATCCCAGTCAGCACCTTGTTCTGGGAGCAGCCCCATTGCCTCCCTGGGTTGGCTGTGAAAAGATTCATGGTCTGATCTTCATTGAGTACTCTAATGCTTGCTGAGCCACTAACCACTATACTGTTTTATTGTTTCTTTCAGAGCAATAGACATAAAATAAATGTTTATTGAACCTTTGGAGGTCTGTTGATCAATAAAAGAAGCTGCATTGAAACCACAGAGGCACTGATAGCTTTTCTCTTTCATATTCTTAGGGTTGTCTGTTGTAACTTTCACCTGAAGCTCAAACTGTTTGTGAACAAAGAGAAAGGGAAAAGAAAAGTCTGATCAGTTAAAAGTATATTCATCCAAGTGTCTGAAAGCTTTTATCCCATGTTCCATTTTCTTTCAGTTCTGTGATCGGGAATTTGCACGGAGTGGCCTTCACTTATTTTTAATTCAGGAAAGAATGGCAATAAAAGTCTGGCCATTGCCTTACAAAGGCCTTCAAAAGTAAGGTCAAGGGGTTGGGTTTGCTTACACCAGCTGGAAGTCTGACCTGGAAAAGAATGCAAAGATGAGATGGTCAAGTGGCAAGAAATAGCAGACTTAAAATTACATTTTTATATTCTCAGCCTGGAGAGGAATGAGTCTCAAAAGCTTTTTAATATTTTCCATGTTTTCATTTAAAGGTTAAAGAAATGCAGTTAGAAATAATAATGAGGATAAATTTAGTATGTTTGGTAGTAGTGCAGACATAGCTACACATAAATAGTGTATGAGACAGCTCATACACCTGTTTCTTGTGTTGAATTTTTGGAGCATTGCAGTCATTGCTCTTCACTGGTTAAATCTTACCTCTGTTTGTAATTGGCATTTACTAAAAGAACTCCGATTATCTTATTGTCCCAGATGCATCTTGACAAGATTAGATTTGTAGCCATCAGTTCAGCCAACAGCTTTTACCTGTAGTAGCTTACATTCCCCCTCCTGAAACCCTTTTGAGAGGACTGAACAGAATTTGGGAGGTTTTAGAGGTTTTTGTTCCATTTTCTCAGTTTTGACAGCAGTATTACCATGGCCTGCAGCTGTGGCAATAATGGTTTCATAAGCTGTCAGCTCTTTTTCTAACTATATATCCTTAAAAGTATACTTGAAAAAACACTTAATGAAGCATTGCAGTGGATTTATTTGCAGTCATTTACAGTAAGAAGGTGGTCATGGTCACTCGCTATTGTAGGTTTACTTGTGACACTGTAAATATTTAGATGAAGTGTAAATCATAATTAAACTTTGGTAAATGACAGTTCATAGCAGCTGCAATGCTTATGCTGTTTAAGGTGACCATAACGAAGTTGCTACTTGTCTAGAAAAAAATAGGAACTTTATTTCTTTTTCAGTTTTATGTATGGTGAACTGACAGACAAGAAGACCATTGAAAAAGTCAGACAGACTTTTGACAACTATGAGTCAAACTGCTTCGAAATTCTCCTCTACAAGAAAAACAGTAAGTACATATTTGTGTGTGGTGTTGGGAGTGATAAAGCATATTTAAAGTATAAAATAGACCAAACTAAATTTTCATTTTGACATATGGGTAAATTTGGTGCAAGATTTGGAGAAGAAACAGGTATTTTGGTTACTACAGCTCAAGAAGAGAGCTCTCTTTTCAGGACAAGCATTCAGATTGCCAGGAATAGTAGTTGTTCCCTGCCATCTCTAGTCTGACTCCTTCTTTCCAAAATATATTTAGTTTTGAGGATTGTTTCCTGACTGGGTTAAGTGAAAAGAAATCCTGAGTGAGGTTCCCCCACATCCCTCAGGAAACTCCCCCATGTCTCCACAAGTGAGAACCCAGCCCCTGATTGCTGTGAGTGGATGCTCCCAGCAGTGTCAAGATGACTCTGTGGTGTGTAAAGCAACACGTACTCTGGTGAGAGTAGTAAATTGGCGCATAGCCCAGAGATTGGTTAGAAAACCATGGAATTTTGTAACTTAATGAGATGCAGGACCTATATCCCTTCTTCTCGGTGCCATTGGCTTTGCAGGAAGTTGCCAGAACAAGAGATTTTCTTCATTTTATCTTAACCATGAGTCAGTCCAGTCACATTTTCTGTCCTGCCACACATGTGGGCAGTACTACTTCTGCCTCATTGACCTTATCACACATACGTAGCAAAACCCACGCTGTGTGGTCTCATGCTGGACTTGTGCAGTGTGGACATCTCTCCTGAGCTGGTAGTTGCAATTCCAGCTTCCTGTTGTCAGTGGAAATGAGCAGCCTCCTCCACTGGCACAGGCCATCTTCCCAAGATAGAAAGCCAACACTCTTAGGTGAAACATGCTCCGGGAAGGCTGGTTCCTCTACCTTGAGGAGAATGAGTTTAGCTGACTGGGTTGGTGGCTGTGTCAAGCGCAAGCCAAGAGAAATCCTGTCGGAGATGTTTTCTTCAGTTTGTCTTTCATTGCCCTGTACAGGTCACAGGTGCTGTGGGGCTGGGTAGCTTTCTCCCTTGTTCAGCTGCCCAGTATCTGAGGCCATGTTTCTCCAGGCCTTTGGTGCTGGCATGGATTACCTTGACAAGCTGAGGCTGGAGCTTTTCCCTGCATGCTGTGGCTGAGGGAAGGGTATGGTGTGCCTCAGGATAGAGCTAACTGTGCCTGACTGCCCCATTTCACTGCAAACTCACATAAACCTTTCATGACATTGAAAAGAGTATCCTGGATACCTCCTCCCATGCTTTACCTCAGTTTTCCCTTTTTAGCCTAAATCTTCCTGTATATGCACTTAAACAGCAGGAAATGTCTTTAGAGTTCTCCAATTCTGCCTGCTTCAAGGCATTTTAGCCAACATGTTAATTAAAAAGAGAAGCAAGAGCAGCTCTGAAGTCCAGCTGTTCCTGCAGGTGCCCAGGAGAGTCCTCCAAATGACCTCTTTTTGGTTCCTAAGCATATGGATGTGTCTGTTCTACAGATTTTCTGCTTCTCTGCCTGCTTCCTGTGCAGGTCACCTGGATGCCCCCTCACATCAGGGGAGTTTCCTGGGACAGGCTTGTGTTGGGTATCTTTGCCAGGGGTGGTGCCCAGCACTGCCATGCCCTGTGTCTGTGTGGTTTCTGAAGGGGATCCCAGAGACCCTGTGCTCTCCCCAGCCCTGACTTCTCTTATTAATTTGAGAGAAGGGAGTTCCTGCTCCAGAGTGGGCTGGTCCTGAACTAAATTACTTTCTATTTTATTTAAGTATAAAAAAATAAATGTCTTCTCTTGGTGACTTTCCTGCAGCAAACCTTTTTGCTTTGGGTTGTGGATTGTCTGCTGGAGTTTGATGATGCTTCAGAGATTTATTGAGCTGCAGTTGCCTTAATAAAATCTTCACCTTTGCCCAGATCTCCAAGCCTACACTTTCCATAAGTTATGCAGGATTACAGAAGGACTTTATGGAAAAGTACTCAGTATTTCTTTTCAGGCTTCAGTCAGTTCCCATCCATAACAAGTGTTGTCAGCTTTCTTCTCCAACACCCGAAGCCCAGAACTTCAACCTCTCACTAATGTTAATAGGCTCACCTTTTGGCTCCAGTTCAGCAGCTGGTGTGCTCAGGGTTTGCTTCCATTTGTCATGCTCTGAGCCTTGCAGAAGAAGGTCCTGCAAGAAACTGCCTGCTTATCCACCAGGCTGAATATTGGAGCAGATAAAGAAATAAAGACTAATCTGTTGTTATAAATGAAATTCTGCAGGGTGTATTTAGTTACTCTGTGGAAGGGCTTGTGTTTATCACCTACATGGAGCTTGCAGTATTTTCAGAGTACCCTCTCACCCACATTTTCAAACTGTGTGTGTTTTTGATAGTGGCACAACCTTCTTTTTTTTTTCCTTACCTATTCCTTAATGCTTTTGGCAGAGGGGGATTTTGAGGTTTTCAGGTTGCTTTCCCATCCTTCTCTCCTTTGTCGCAGAGATAATCTTTAAGAGCTGATGTTCTCTGGCAGTATCTGTACAGCTGCTGACTTCACACACCCCCTTGGTGTTTTAACCCAGCTTGCAGGTTGCAGGTTCAGACCTGAAAGCTTGCTGCAACTTATGCTTTGCTGCATTCCCTCATATATAGTCCTTACCTCTACCCACAAAACTCTTCAGCAACCAGTTAGACATGCTTATATATATATATGTATATGCATGTAGTATTCAGGAAATACTATATAGTAGTATTCAGGAAACCTCTTGCCTTGCTTTTTTCCCATTTTGCTCCTTCTCCAGCAGTAGCCACCTTGCCTCTGTCTTTGATTTTTGTCAGCACTATTGTACAGGGTAATTTGCTTACTTGCTTTCAGAGCTTTTCGAAGGGTGCTGAGGGGTTCCCAGGTATAAGTGCAAATACAGTATTTCTCTAGAGAGCTGCAGCACTCTGATTAAAAAATTTTAAAAAGTCTTTTATCTTGGGTTAGCAACTGGGATTTAAGATAATCAAGGAATCAGCATAATGGCTTTGGAATTTGAGCAGTCCCCCACCTCTCCCACTTCCCCAGTTTACTGGTAGTGAGTTACAGGTTTAATCCCAGTTGAATTTCAATGAACCCTTGTGGATTTTAACCTTCCACACAGTAGTCATAGCCCAAATGGTTTTCATTGCCCTCTGGGATGTATCCTGCAGTTGCTGGCACAGTTCCCGGACATGGTGCATTAGAGGAGATTTGGGGAGGCCAGTGGTGCCTGTGTGGGATAACAGTGGGCAAAGCAGCTTGTCTCAATGTGTCAGCTCTCAGGCTGCCATACAGGCAGCTCAGGAGAAAAGCCACTCTGTCAACTGGCTGAAAGCACATCAAATCCCAAAGGTAATTAGCTGGCTGTGAAGGCATTTATAGTGCAGTGTGTGTAGGTGTGCATTTGGGAGGGAGGGAACACAGCTGTGGGCATGGAGCTTTGCTGGATGGAGAGCTTCTCTAAGGTTTACATCCCTGCAGGTGAACAGGGTGTTTCTAAGCAAATTGCTGGAAGTGTTCTAGGATTTCACCCCTTACGGAGGTGACCTGTTTGTACATAGAGGACTGCCATGTGCCTTTCAGCCTGGGAGGAAGCAAGACCAGTTTCAGCTCCTGAACTCCTGCAGGAGCCCTGTGTAAATGGTGGGAATTTATCAAAAACTGTGCTAACTGTTCCGAAACTAAGGGCTTTTTTTTTTTTTTTTTTGGCTGTTTATTTGAGTAGTGGTAGGATTTAAAAAATATTTGGGTTTCTTTCAAAAGTTAAGTAGAAACAACTGTGTTGAGTAAGTGCTTTGCTGGGCAGGGCAATGAGGAGGTATGACCTGAAATACAAAAAAGAAGTCAAATCTACTGATTTGTACTGGTAAGACATTTAGAGACCAACTCAGATCATCTTAAATAATGTAGTAACATAAAATTTTGAGCACTTCACAGTATATTCCATCAGTTTTGGATTCAATAGTTCCAAATTATGTGAAGAAGGAATCAAAGATACCACCCATCCATTTTTTCTTGCATTTCTACCTTGCAGACACTAAAGTTGTGAGACGAGTTGGGAAAAAACAAGAGCAAGAGGGGAAGAATAATATGTTCCATTTCAGAATGGAGATTTATGAAGCTTTCTGTCTTTTCTTATCATCTAGTTAGCTAATGAAGCTGTAAAAATGGGAATATGTTGTTTTCCTTTAGGAAATAAGATGAAAAGTTCTGGAAGTTGCAGAACTATTGAGATATGGTCCTAAACTACACGTGTTACAATAACATATAAATGATGAAGTATTCTGTGCATGGGCTGGGGAAAGTTTGTGCTACACCACATTCCAATGTCACTTTTTTTCTCTGCTTCAGGAACCCCAGTTTGGTTCTACATGCAAATTGCACCTATAAGAAATGAGCATGAAAAAGTGGTTTTGTTCTTGTGCACTTTCAAGGATATCACTTTATTCAAACAACCGATTGAAGATGATTCAACAAAAGGTAAATATGAAATGCATTATTATTTTTTGTAAATGATAAAAGTACATGCTTCAGCTCAGACCTGTCACAGGGACATGCCATGCCTGTGATCTGTGTCTTGAATTGAGGCAATGTTTTGTGACCTGTCAGAGTTTCAATGCCACTCTTAAATTATTGCTTAAAAATACAAGATAAATCACTGCAAGTGGAAATTCCCTAGCAGTATTTTTTCAGAGCCACAAGGCTTCCTTTCTCTTTGTAATTGCACTACTTCATCACTACAGCTGGCACTTGCTAAAAGTGATGTAGTTTTGACTCATTTGAATGCTGTGTGTTGTTTCGGGAGACCTTTCTGCTATAGGACTGGTATCTTCTTTTCAGGAAGAACTTAATTTCAGCTCCTTGTAATGAGATGCTGGTATTTCCTCCCTTTCTTGCTCCTGGAGATGAAATGCAAAAGAAACAGCCTGTATGAGTTCTTTATTACTGTTCAGGGAATGATGACTGCATGGCAGTGGACATCATGCTTGTTATCAGCTGTTGAGAATGATGTTTGTTGAAATGCTTTCATCACCTAACAGCTCATGGCCAGACCTGCAGCCTTGCAGAAGGAGAGAACTGGTGGGGAAAAGTGCAGAGGATCTGGCAGCAACCTCTGCTCTGGTTATAAGACACGTCTTGTGTCAGGTTTACACGTGTATTGCTTTGGGTAAAATAACACATGCTTGCATAAAGAAGGGCATTATCCACATTCCATCTTCTCTTGGAAGTTGTCTCCTGATGATTAATTCCTTACTACATTTTTCTTTTCACGCTTGAAGAAGGTTTGATATCTCTCTCTGAGCTGTGTATGCTCTAAGCCATCTTCCTTAGAATGAAGTTTGTGTCATTTGAATGCAAACAGCATTTAAACTAATTTCTTATTATCTAGATAGCACATAATATATGTGTTTGGATAACTGGAAAGTAATTTTATAGAGGCAAACTTAAAATGAAAGGCCCCTCTTTGGGTTAACACCAAATATGAGATTTTTTTTTGTGTCTGGACAGTATTATCCATAAAGTTCTAAGATCCTGATATAGGAATACCTTCTCAGCCACCATGAGCTTTACTGCCTCTACAATTTAGTTAACACCCTGAAAATGTTCTCTATTTCACTTTCAACTCCATAATGCAGAATTTTTCTGCTTGGAAATAACCTGAATTTTCTAGGATAAATGCCAGTTAATTGGAAGGATTTTAACTGTAGAGATCTGAAGGCATGGGACTGGCTTCTTGCTGCAGTGTATATAATATGTAGTGGGAGCTCATCAAGGAAAAATCCAGTCTTTTCAAGAATCCTCTTTGTAGGGTTTCCTATTTGATGCCTTCTGGGGGAACCAAGATGTATCTCACATGGAACTAGCCTCTAAACCTCCCTTTTCCCCAGCTCTGCCCCACTGCCTGCAGTACGCAGCTGCACTGAGGAGTGTTTGACTGCAGCAGGACAGAAAAAATATATTGAAAGTGACTCTCAAATGCAGAAATGATGAATGTTGCCTCCTTTGGATTTTCAGCCTGGGAGATTCATGTTCTGCTGCCTTCCCCGGGCAGAGATGTGCTGTGAGGGCTGAGCTCTTCCCCTCCCATCTTGCGGCTGAGGAGGAGCAGAATCTGTGAGGGATCTAGTCTAGGAGCTATATATGTTCCTATGACAAAGAACAATAGCTGTGAAATGCATGACTTGTGTGCTGCTGTTGTGCAGTGATGGGAGCCATTCGTTAAAACACCAGGTATTAACGATGAACATCGCAAAATATTGTGGTCAGCAGCCAGAGAGGTTTGACTGTGTGGTTAAAGAGCACTTCTGTCCAAGTCATACCTTAAACAAAACCCAAAGAGAGCCCTGCAGAGGCAGTACAGCCACATTGCCCAAGTGCCTTTAAGGCATATGATTGGAATCTTTGAGAATCTGCTCAGGATGCTTTGATTAGAGCATTGATTAGCATTGATCAGTACATCCAACAAACCTCATAACTAGAAACCACTGAACCGATGTTTCTTCTGCTTTTGCATAAATTATTGAAAAAAATCATATGCAAATATTTGCACCATTTTACTACAAGGGTGGGAAAACAGCACTGTTGCATTTCCCTTCGTGTCTTAACTGCGTGGATCTGCGGGATCCCGTGGCACTGGGATCACAGTGTTGTTGTGTCAGACGTAGTGCTAGGAGAGATACATAATTCATTGTCCCTGCAGATAACATTACAATGTGCTTAGAAGCTGCCAGGCCACTTTCTTTTTGCGTTATGAGATTGGTAAACATATACGTTACAATTTGGTGGAGAATTTTGAAAGTTTTGTGGAAAAGCATTTCAGTAAAATACTGCTGTCGAGTGCTGGGATTTGTCATTGAAGGGGCTATTTTTCTTTTCTTTTTAAAAAAGAAGGATTTTTCTTTGGAAATTCTGCCAGGACCATGCAATACATAATACATAAGTAACTATGGTGCAGATGAGTTACTGTGTATTACTTATGGGAGCAGTAAATTTGAGATAAAAAATTCAACAGAAATAAAATATTGATGCCATTATGCAATAATCTCTCTGTACCAATACATTCTGCACTGTTCAAAGGTGTGGTGTTTTGTTGTGAAGCTTCAGTACATCACGCTCCTACAAGGTATTTAAATCATACCAATGGGTCTATCTACACTGCAGAGTGTCTCTGTGTCCTGGCTCTGGAAATATATGGTTGGGTTTCCCAGAGCTGCGTGCAGTGGCTGCAATGTGGTTGGCATCTCGTGCAGACCTTGCAAGGGAACTGCAGTTTCAGGGAAGAGGGAGTGGTGCTGAGGAGGCAGATCTGCTAGGAAGTGTCGAGGAGCTTGTCGGATTTGCAGTAACAGGACAGACAAATAAAAGAAACTAGTTATCTTACTACAAAGCACATTGCAAGGGTGAGGTGGGATTTTTTTTTCATGATATGGGCTTAAAAACATGCTTGTTTACAGGCTCAGAGCAAAAAATGTAGTTGACATCACGGGGACGAGCCCCGTGCGAGCAAGGGGAGTCGGAGAGGTCTGGGGCACTGCGACAGATGGTGTGTGTCTCTGCTTACCTGTGTGCTCACCGTTAGCTGTGTTAATGCTGAGAGGAGAAGGAGGGGGAGGTGTAGGAGGAAGAAGGGAGGAGGAGGAGGGGGTTTTACTTGCTAGAAGGAGCAAAAGTAATGAAAAATTTTCCCGGGTCACCCAGGAGACTATAAATTTGCTGCAGACTAGAAAGCTGTTGAAACTTACTGGACTGTAAGCAAGACTGGAGAAAGAGGATATTTAAAAGCTACCTTCCTCTCATAAAATATAGTGACAGAGATCAAAACACTTGTTTTCTGAGAGGGTTCAGGCAGTTGACACTAAAGATTGGACTGACTTGTTTTCTTGTTTCTCAAGCTCATATCCATTATTGCTGGGTGATGTGTGGGAGACCTATGATGTACAGCAATGTAAAAGTGACCAAAAAGTACTGTTATATCCTGCTAAGTGGAAAATTACTTAAAAAAGTATCCAACCAGTCAAAAGTGTCAACCCCCCCCAGCAAATCAAGACAAAGCAGTGAAGATGGTAACAGAAGGAATGATCAGCCACCTGGTTGATGTTTTTTCCCCTGAGTGAAGGTGGTGCCACTGGCACCTGTGCAGGTCTGGAGGGTAGAGAGAAAAACTCTGTTGCCTTGGTTTATGATGTATAGTGCCCCAGCTTCTGAGTCAGTGGCTGGATGAGCTGTGGATCTTGGGAGCGTGGAAGAAGAAGTGTAAGAATTAGTGAGGTCAGGAGAAGATGGTTGCACTTGGTGGTCACTGGGACAGTGCCTTATTTTCTGGTGAAGGATCTGTGCTTTGTTTGTCTGGTCCCTCTTTCTTTCCTTCTCCTGATCCTCTTTGGTATTGTGAACACTCATCTTACCTGGATTCAGTACCAAGCAGTAGGTCCTACCTGTGGAGGCAGAGGGCCAGATCCCCAGGTGTCCTGGCTCAGTGCCTTACACAGCAGAGGTAGAAGACCATTACAAGCATATGAAAGATCGTATTATGTATTTTCTTCAAGAGAATAAAACCAAAGAATCTTTTTTTTTTAATGTTTGTACCATTGTCAGGTCACAGTTGGATGCTTTTATCAGCTTGCTGAGCTTTTATTCTGTCTTTACCCAATGGCCTTTTAAAAACATCTGAAGAATTTCAATTCCTCCGAAGACACACAGTGGTAATAATCTTATGTTTATTTGTCAGGAAAAAAATGAAGTCATTTTTCTGGGCCCTAACTATTAGAAGGGTGAATGGGGCCACTTAAAATGTTAACATTATTTGAAGCCAGGAGTGCTGTAGATTATATTGAACAGAAAGTTTAAGGGTAGAAGAAAAGGAACAACATTTTTGGCTAATGGTGGAGTTTCACCTAGTTGTACAATGGTTTTATTCCTTTTGTTATCAGGAGTGAGGAAAAATTGTGGCCTCTAGGTAAACATGGAAATTTTTTTTGCTAGGATTCTCACTGGTTATCTTGAGTCTCTTCTGAGTGAAATGTCAGATTTGTCACCTCTGGAGTGACTGGGAAGCTCTGGAGAATACTGATGGGATATCGAATTAGGATGCAAAGTTGTATTAATGAGGCCTCTACAACTCAGGACCGTGTGCTGTTAACAGATGGCACAGCATGATCCTGAAGTTGCTTTTTTATTTTTTTCACTTGATAGAGCCAGACTTTGATAATCAAGACTGTCTGGGACAATGCTGTAATGCTTCCAGTGATATAACTCTTTATGGTTATATAACTCCTTATAATGATACAACTCTATCTCGGAGTGTGACAGGGCTATAAAAAGTGTAGTAGTTGCAAAAATACACACTTATGCTTGCTAATCCTTGCTAAGCCTATAATTCTGATCCTTTTTTATCTTTAATAAGTGCAGGTTATTAAGCATATATAACTAGTTGCACACAGGAACTTTTTTCCTTGAGGGGGTATCAATCCTGGTGATAA